TGAATTTTACCTAGAACCATGGGAGACTGTACTACATACATTTGAAGAGAACAGAAGAAGAGATACATGATTAGTTTTACCAAAAAAACCCAACAGTCTAGATACCCAAACTCAAATTTAGTGTCAGGACTTTCAAATGCACCCAGTGGATACAGACATACAAATCCCTTGGGCTGTTTTGAAATTTCCCTTTTACAAGCCTAACTTCTGACGTTTATTTAAGGAGATACTGACAATGTCGTCTTTCCATCACACCAGTCTCTCCCCCTTTTGTCATCAAATTTTCCTTTCAGAATAGTCTGACCAAAACCGGATCTGAGGAATCTGTGACGATGCTCTCCTGGAGCTGTGTCCACAAATCAGGGAGACTCCTTTAGATTTAAGAATAACTTTATACATGCAAAATTTCCATAATAGATTTTAAAAACAGTTTAAGAATCTACCCTTCCCACCCCTCCATTCCCCAAAGGCAGCAAAGAGTCTGAAGACAGAACTGAAACATGGCTTTAAAAAACAGCCCACAGACATTAGGTTTCGCTTCCCAGAAACCAACTTCCAGCATGGGATTCGCAGGAAGAGACCCTCCTTTCTGTGGCTAAGGGGGAAGGTGAGGCACGTGGAAGAAAGAAGGGGTAGGGGATGTCAGACTGCATTCAGTTTAAGAACACACACACACACGCACGCACGCGCACGCACACAATTACATTCCAGTGCATTTGATGTGTTTGGTCTTTTCTGCTTTTCCTGGTGGAGAAGAACTGGGCTGTGTAACACCTGCGTGAACACATGCAAACCAAAGAAACAGAGACCACTGAAGTCTTTAGGAACTGTAAAAGATTGTCCTAGGATCTTTTATCAATTCCTTGAGGTATTTCTTCTTGCTAAAACAATCAAAGGCAACAGGTAGGCATTTTTGCAAATGATCACAAATGCCAGTTTGAAAGACAGACTCTTTTGAAGGACATTATTAAAAACCTTTGTTGTCAAATTATGCTAATACTTGATAGTGCTTGGTCCATGTGCAGAGCTCCCATGAATATGAACAGGCATTCCATGGTCCTTTTACTTATAATCCCACAGTAAATATTGCTGGTAAAACAAGGCAAGACCTCCACATATCTGCATTCTCCTTCGAGCCTAGCACATATGCTGAGTGTTTTCCCTATTTTTCCCTTTAAAAATACGCTCAATAGCACACCATTCAGCATGTCACAGTCTCACCATTCCCACAGCTTCAGCAGAGGTATGGGTCAGGACCAGCAGTGGAAGGGTGGAATTCATTGTAGAGTTGACGGGGTCACATTGCAACAACTGCCTCAAGTAATTCTGCTTTTTCTTAAAAAACCCAACCCTTCTCCCTAGTCTACTAATGGGCAGAATCTGCAGTTTCCCAGAAGAGTGCCAAGTCCCACGCTGAATGAAGTTCAACCTTGGGTACAGCTCCAGTGACTGCTATGGAGCAACTCCAGGACTGTAGTAACCTCACATGCACACATCGCCTATACCTTTAATCCAGGTTTGAGGGGACAAAGTAAACGGCCAGTAGAAAGAAAGATGTCTTTGCCGTCACCCTTTCTGCATCAAGAAGGACTGGGTTCCTTGCCTCTATTCCCTTGTTGATACACAGCTCCAAAGCAAAGGTTGATAAAGAAGTTTCTTTCAGGACTCCTCTAACGAGAGTTTAGCCAATAAACGTTTACTAACAACCAGCTATTTAAACTGAGATATGTGATCAGTTATGCAGAAATTCAGTGCTACCAGGGATTATCAGCACCTTGGGAGAAGGCTGCAGTCCCACACACAGATCCAATGGCAACCCTTTCCATGCAACTTCATCCTCTCCCCTGCTTTTGTTGTATCCTATTTATGGCAGTTTGCAGCTATCCCTGGGCAGTCACTTTGTGATTACTGGCTCAGCTTTCAAGAATTGCAGGAAACAACAGTAAACCTAACTATTCCCTACTAGCACCAGGCTTGCTGGATCCAGGGATGGGCAGGTTACAAGATACTCGAAAGGGTGGGAAGTTGGGAAGGGATAGGAAGAACTCTGTCCCTCAGGGAAAGAGAGCTGAGGTCTGAAGCCATTCTGGAGGTCTGGGGAAGGCAAGCAAAATACTTCAAGGCTGCTGGTACCATCAGCAGCAGCTCAAGTTCTTCTTAAGAACTGCTCATTAAAAATAGGAATTTGTTTTAGGAGAAAGATCCGACTGTTCTTTCTAAATTGTTAGACTGTAATTTTACAACACAGAGAGAAACAGTGTCCCATTCCTTTCACCAAGACAAACTAATATCTAAAAACCTGAGCATACTCCTTCACCAAAAGGACTTAAACCACGTTCCTTGGAACTGTTTCCCCAATCGATGTATGTCCGTAGCCACATTGCAATAGCTACTCTGTGGGGAAGATCTCCTCAGTGCGTGCCCAAGTCCTTACTAACATGGAATGGGTGACAAATAAATGGGTGCTGTGCATCTGTGTATTTGTCAATGTGTGAAATCTTCCCACTATTTCCTCAAGTAGGTGAGACTGTAAGTATGAAGTAGCTATTTTTCCCTAAGTGAATAACCAGTCTGCCCCTCCAAATCTACATGAAGCAAAATAAGACTTTTGGGTTGACAGAGCATATTTCCTTTCTCTAAGATATGCAGATATGGAATATAATTAAAATATATTATCAGTGGTTGTAAATCTCTGGCACCAGTAACCAACACACATATTGCAGGAAGTCGGCCTTTGTCTAGCATTAGCTCTATGTCTCCAATGAAGTATTGTTGTTCAAGGAGATTTTAACTTGAGAGCCTGGCATGACCAATTTTGATAAGTCTGTTGTTACACCGGGAAATACAGACTGGCAAAGATGTGTCTTTCCCTGAGCCAAAGGACTCTATTGAGGCAGGCAGCCTGACTGAGAAATGGTTTCAGATACTTCTTTCTCCATGTTAAGAAGAGTCTTACCCTAGATAAACTGGTTGGGTCGCAACACCAGAAAGCACCAGTACCAGACCTATCTTTCCAGCTTACGCATCCAGAGGAGAGGCCTTATTGGCCTGTTTGGCAGTCAAGTCAAGGCAGAGGGGAAGGGGAAAGCTCACGATGGTTTTTAAGCGTCAGATGCACTTGCTGAATTTTTCGTAGTTTGCAGGGCTGTTATGATGTAGCTTTGACTGTTCCTGATAAAGGGGTCCTGGCAATCAGTGGGAAAACGCAAGCATCACATCCTAGAGCATGCCGTGCGGGCAGGCAGCATTGCTGCATTGCTTCCTGAGCCTCAGCACTTCCACTCCTGCCTCTTTAAGAGCTTCTGATTTAAGAGTCTTCTCCTTAACATCCAGCTTCTCAGGGGTCCCCAGTTCAGTCCGTTCTTGCACTATCCCTCAGGCTTTCCCCCCTGTTTAAGTCCTCGTTCTCCAATGACCAGCGTTTACTCCAAGCAGACTGTGCAAAGCAAGGTATGGAAAGCCTCTGTCAAATGGGCAGAGAGTGGCTTCCCATACTGCTGCGGCATAGTCAGCAACAGCTACCACTTGTATCCCTCTGGGTAACTCTGTAGTGCACATGCTTAAAGAAACAACACAAAACCAAAAACAATTCCCCCTTCTAAAAAAACTTCCCGCCCTTCCTCTCCATAAAACCCACCCCCCAAAATATTGCTTGAGATTCATTTATATGAATTGTTAACCATCACGGACAAACATATTACTCTAGCTCTAGCTAGAAAAAGAACATAAGAGGAGAAAAAGAAGCTTGTCTCACATAAACTCTCCTTATGTTAAAAGAGAGTGACTGTGAATATATGAAAGTGAAAAAGGCTTGGGGACCTCTTTCAGGGAGCTAAAGCACATTTTGCCACAGTAGAGCAGGATGCAAATCAAGAGAATGGGGCTGGGAGAGAGGGAGAAAGTCCAAATTTAACTGTGTTCAGCAAATTGTTACCAGACACTACAGTGCAATAATGAGATTATACAAATACCAGAGAAAGCATGAATTAGAGAAGGATATGCAGAGAGGGGTGCAGGAGAAAGCGTATGTGCAAGGAAACTACTCTTCCCGTACAGTAATGCTTATTTTTCAGAGTGGACCAAGAGCAGAAGAATTCCTCAACACCTGAAGTCGACATCTGTAACAGGACTGAAGAGCAATTCTCTGGACAGCTCTTCCTCACGCTGGTTGTATCATTTGAGACCTACAACAAATTGCAGTGGCAATATGGAAACGGTCTGAAAAAAAATAAAGTCTGTATTGCTTTTCTGTTCGTGTTTTACCCTAGTTGCCACTGGGTTTGCAAACTAACAATATTTAAGGCTACAGAGAAGTAGCCATCGATATTTAAGGCTACTTCCTTTTGGTAGGGTAATTTCCCCGTGCTGGTCCAATAGTGTCAGTCATACGGACAAACTTCTGAGTGCATACCAACCGGGAACCGTTAGAAGATCTCCCTTGAAGTAATATTACTGCTGCTAGTCAATATATGCTTATGGCAGCCTCCAAACATCACATACTAGAGTAACGGGCAGACTGCTTGTACAGTGTACATGTCAGACTAGTTGCTAATTAATTTCTCTGTCAAATCCTGAAGCAAAACTATCGGATGCCTGGGACCTAAGCCTTCCTGACCAACCACATTTTAGTAAGAGAAAAGAAAAACAAAACAAAATAAACACCCATCACAAAACTAATAAAAACATATACATTAGCACTGTAGAAGAATGACGCTTGTGTCATATTCCATGGGTTTTTGGCTTCACGCTGGCTCATGGGCACTGCGAACACTGAACTGGAAGCAAACAGTGGCAGAAACTAATAGCCCCCAGCAACCCCAGGAAAGTTTAATTTTAAGACTGTTCTACTGAAATTATTTTTTCTATTCATGGCAATGACAAAGAACAACTTCATGTGAGAAAGCAGCAACTGGTGCCCAATGGAAAGATTGACGAGATCAGATTTCTTTGTGATTTTGTCTCACACAGGGCGCAAGGAAATAAACAGTAACCCATGCAGAAAACAAGTAACCTGATGGATATAAGCTACTTGAACGTTTTCATTGCTAAAAAGAACTTTCTCTGTGGAGGAATCGAGCATGTCTGCTCTGGAAGATACCCAAAGTATGTTTAGAGTCATCAATCCCAGACATCATTTTTAACTAGCAGCCAAAATGACACTCCTGCACTCTATCATTGACTAACACACAGGGCAGAGGAAGCTTTTAGTCTAATACCTGCCTCCCTTGCACAGAGGTCACCGGCGCAGGGAACCAGCAGCAAGCTTTACCAAACACACCCACATTCTGGCTTTCCTTCGACAGTGTTGGACAAGAGCTCCCTGCCCCGCGAGGCAGGCAGCAGCAAAGAAGAGTCCGTAAAAACCCCCAAACTTGAAGACGAGTATCAGAAATTCAGAGTCCTCACATCCGGCCGGCGGTGTGCAATGTCTCGCCCCCGAACCAGTGTTTGTTCAGTGCTCCCTGCAGACTGGATGCGGCCTGAAACAGGCGGGCGAAGCTCACCTCTGCCCAGTGTGGTTCCTGTTCGCCTCCGCGTTTAAGGCCAAGTTGTGTAGGAAGAGAAAAAGCTGCCACCACACTTGATTTCTGTTCTGCTGATGCTGTAGAGAACAGTTGAAGCAAGGTTATTTATATTTCTAAAATTGCAACATACCACTTCTCTTTTCCAATAACAACTCAGTTACACTTTTCAAGAGCAGACACTTTAATCCCATCAGCATAACAAGGGGGTGCAGCAAGGGATGAGGGGAGAGAGGGAAATGATAAGTTCTCCAGAAATAATTGTAGCTCTAACATTACAAAAAGAAAAGAGCAGACCCTTTATGCATTGTGCACAAGAGGATTAAACTTTTTTTTTTGCTTGTAGGATTTTGCAGAGTTTAGCCAAGTGCTGTTTTTAATCAGATTGGCTTCTGAGCCTTTCAAAAGCCCCAGCTGCATGAACAAACAACCTTTTTTTTTTTACTGTGTGCACAAGAGGATTAAACTTTTTTTTTTGCTTGTAGGATTTTGCAGAGTTTAGCCAAGTTGTTTTTAATATCAGATTGGCTTCTGAGCCTTTCAAAAGCCCCAGCTGCATGAACAAACAACCTTTTTTTTTTTTAAAAAAAAAAGCCCCCCTTCACCCCAAAAGTAAAAAAAAAGAAAAAAATATAACTGGTGATCCATCTGTAAGTGATTTGACACCGTGAAGGTCAAAGGGTTAATCTTCAATTTAAACCACACTGCTGAGACAGCAAAACTCTGATTTCATCTAGTACAAGAAAACACATTCGTGCACACACACACTCCCCCACCCTCCCCCCACCACATTTTCCTTCCCAGCATCTCCAAGATAATACTGCCCTTTTTATAGCCACTTTTGACAGTAAGCCATAAATAATCAGCCTTGGAGCCCTTTCCTACTGACTGGAGCCAATTAAACCTTAAGCAAGAACATACTTGAAAACACACAAAAAACCAAAACCAAGAGGTTATTTCAGGTCCCATTGTCAAGGAAGAAACATGGGAGTTGAGTTTCAGGGGGACATCAGACTATATAATGCAGCTTTGGGGCAGGGACACTGTTCCTTCTTTTGTTATATGTAATCACTCCTGCAAAAATGGCTCCGATTATACCCCCACCTTCCCGCACTTTAATGGCATCTCATACAAACAGGTGGGTTTCTCTTTACATTGCCCAGCCTGGGATACTATTTCACCTCAATAACCGACCCTCTATTAGAAGTCAGTCTTTGTTTTCTCATCCAGAATTCCATATTTGCTAAGCAGGACTGATCACTTCTGGAAAACAAAACAAACCAGCCCCAACCTCTCCCCCCACCCCCAATCCCCAGCAGACGAGGAAACAGAAGACTGGCTTCCAACAACTTTGCCTCAGTACACAGGAGTTCATAAAAGAGCACTGAAGCACATTATATGAACAAGATGTTTCAACTCAGATTAGCCCAACAGGGCAGAACAACATGGTTACAAGGCATTCTTTACGTAATCACAAATAAGAGAGAGTTGCAACTGGACTTGGTGTATTGGAGATGTGTCAATAAACAGCTCTTCAAAGCCCTCCCAGATAGTCATTAAATTACGTCCGTATTTCAGCGGGAGTAGATCTGTGCCATTTGAATCACAACTACATACAACACAGGCTTCGGAAAACCTCTGTTCATCTCGCATCTTAGCAGTGGGTCATTCTTCTTACCCTCAAGACTTAACAGTTGTCTCCCGGATTTAGAAGAGTTCACACAGATCCCATCACACATTTCAACACCACTGTGTTTGCAGCATAACCCACAGACAGCGACTCTAGAGCCCGGTATCATTTATTTCAAAGTAACCAGCCCTGGGTTCAGTCCGTACTGATTGTCCAGGCATTGCTAGGTTTACAGGTGAAAACAATCTTTTATAAACTATCCCCTAGGGCTGGGTTACAAAAACCTAATTTGGTTTCAAAAAGCAAGATGCTTTTTGTTTTGTTATTCGCCTCTCGGTTTGACCAGGCTTTCCTTCCTCATCAAACTCCAGAGATTCTTCTCACCCTCCTCCATAGAGCCACACTCCCAAACCTGCTTGAACATGCACGTGGAACCACCATGTCCTGGCGACATCTAGATACCATGCTTTTATCAAGCTATTACAGTTTAAGTGGACTGCTCCTTAAACAGAGATCTTCGGGTAGCATGTCAATGAAGTGGCATGCAAGCACAATGCCGCCTTCTGCAGTTTCCACAAGTAGGGAACTATGCTAGGAGAGTACGGTGGACAAACATACTATAGACGCTCTGAAGACAATCTGCTTTGGCAGATTATTTTATTCTATTGGCAGCCAAGAGGGTAAAGAAGTGTCGTATAGGGACTTAGTATGGGAAATGCAAAAGGATGTTTAAAAATTGGTATCAAAATCCTAAACTTGAAATATATCTCAGCCTCACTGGTGGACCCTCTTTAATGGAAGCTCTCATAGAATTTTATAAACCAGGTTAATTTGGAGGCAGACAAGAGGAGGCGTGCTGACGGTTGGACTCGACGATCTTAGAGGTCTTTTCCAACCTCAATGATTCTATGATTCTATGATCTGGTATGTGCAATTTCAACTATTCTACACTGTCAGAAGGACAAATAACAAGTAAGAATCCCCAATGTCCTGCTTCATGTAGGAGGCTGCTTTGGGCTTCTCACACAACATAACATGTTTCTAAATATTCTGTCTCCTCTTTAAGTTTTAAATGCCACCTCAGAAGAAAAGGATTACTGGTTCTTTGCTGTGATAGGTAAAGGGGCCATGTTCAGGGAAAAACAGTGGAAGGACTGAGCTCATCCTCCTCCCTTTTTGTTTTTTTTTGAAGGTGGGGGAGCTTTTTGAGGAAGGTATTGGGTTTTGTTTTTATTTGGTAAATAAGAGTTTTCGATCTCTACTTTCAGGAGGGTTACAGACCTGCAAGAGAACCAGTGGGATGTGGCATCACAAATACTGAGAAAAACTGTAATTCTTTTTAGTTCATACTCTATTGTATTTCACTGCCTCTTGCAGCCACTTTTTTGGTACAGCATTTTTGTCCTTCTCCAGTTAAAAATGTTTCCCGCTATTTGCCTAAGACACTCAAGGAGATTTCCATGGAAAAGCAGAATAGGAATTATTTCACCCTTGTTCCCCCCTGCTTATAAAAAGCATAAGATCTCAAATCACTTTATGAAGGACGTTGACACCATTAATTTTGTTTTGAAGTGAAAAAATAGAGCACTAGGCCGAGGGCAGCTTTCCAGGTTTTATTCCTAGACCTAGGGCTTGCATTTCCCTGGGTCCGTATTCAGCTAGCATTTCCTTCCACGGTGGCGTAGTCCCACACACACTTTCCCTGGCTTGCGTACTGAAGCAGCCCACTCGCACTGTCCTCTCTTCACACTAGTGCAGGAAAGTGAACTAGAGCAGGACAATGATCAAGGCCAGAACCAATCTGATAAAGAAGCTGTCTTTACTATTGATCAGGTCATCCTAATCCATCTGATCCACGGCATCATGGAGTCAAGCTGATGCTTATGCCAGCACAACAGAAAGGTGACCTGAGAAGAGGAGCAAGCTGGGACTGCTTGCTCCTTCAGCAGCAAGCCTAGCTAACGGGGTTTACAGAGTTATGGTCTCACTTCTGGGCTGATCTGCTTTCCGTGGTACTAATTCAGCATGGGACAAGAGCCACAGAATGGAAATGGCAGATATTCTTTGCAATACAGATAGAGTAAACAATTTATGGAAAGAACTGTCACAGCCTAAAAAATGTCCTTTTCACAAGTTTCAGTAGCTTTTCCCTAGATATGTCTCTGCCAAGACCAAAATAGTCAAATATTTCAGGACTGAGGGGTTTTTGTGTGGTATAATTTAGCTGCCAGGAAGGACAGAAAACCCAGGAAAGTGACTCCACGAGTTTGGCATCTCATTTTTTCAGATGTGATACGTTTCAAGTCAATTCTTACAGTCTTCTAAGACTCATAACTATGGTGGCACAGGTTTATAATTTCCTAAGCTTCCCTATGCTGATTTGTCCCTCATCACAACAATTCAATCCTCAGAGTCACTACCGCACAAATGTATCAGGGATGAACACTTTGCCACCTCCATGTGGTAGCAACACAAAGAACATTTTGAAGCTCCTTTCCGAAGATGGAAAGAAGCCCCTTTTGCCCTCTATACTAACTGTAACTAAAGAAGACTAGTCTTGTGAATACAGTAAGTCAACACAAAGCTGGAAACACATAAAAACATTTCCTACTGCAGCTGCTGCTTTTTGAAGGGGATATCCTTAAGAGACTGTCTGTCTGAGGCGTTAGCATGAATGCTTCAATGACTCACAGGGAAAGGCCATTTTACAGGAAAAGTGTCCTCTGCAGCAACAGTACATTAGTGAAGCCTATCCATGAACTGGGCTGAACCAAAAGCCAGAATACTGGTAAACAAACACAAAAAAACAGCAAGACTTTTACTGGAAGCAAATGAAAGAGGGACATGATTGACCCAACATTTATTCCCTCCCCGTAATTAATTCCTAATACATTTCACGCTGTAAGCATACAGATATATATCTGTCAAATAGCACCCCAGACGTCAAAAGCTTTTTACTCCTACCAAGCCCTTGCACGGGGTGATCGAGGGAGCATCAGGACAGGTAATACACCTCAAAGAAAATGTTGTCCCTCTGACATAGCTCCTTGAATCCTTGAGCATAAATGTTTAACAGATGAATAGTATTCACTTTTCCACCTGATAAATACGTGCCATTAATATCCCTCCTTAAAAAAATAAAGAATATGTTAATCATATACACGTCATATGTGGGTCTGGTACATTCCTATCGCATATACAGAAGGGTACACCTGTCTACCCTCTTGATCTCATGGGCAACTTCTGACTTTGCTTCATGGCTTCCAGATAGCTAAGGGTCAAATTCTGATCCCATCTTAACTAGAAGGATTAAAATATGGCCATAAATGGCACTATTAGAGCAAAAGAAGAATAATGGCATATGTGTGCATAAAAACATCATTCTTCCTTTAATGACTAATACAAGTATTAGCAATAAGTTGTTGGGATTTTATTTATTCACTGAAAACA